CCTCGAGAAGGGCGCGGTTCGCCGCTCCCCGGGGAGCCGAGTGGACCCAAGGTATCGAAAGGACAGCGCTTCGTCAGAAACAAACGTTTAGCGCCTTAAACTGAGTTATGGCCCAAGCTTCGGGGGATGCTGACTATAGCCATCTGCTCTCAGCTCACTTGACCAGTTAAAAATAATAAAAAAGCAGTTCTCTCTTTTTGCCTGTTGCTATCAGTTTCTGTCTTTGCCAAGAGATGGTCTCTGCCCAGCTGTGTTGGAATGTGCAAGCTAAGACTCCCGTGTCATAGGCTTAGTGTTTTACAGCAAAAGGGCAGCCATGGCAGCATTTGGAGGAACGTAGGATTCCGGAGACAGAGAGTCTGAGCCACCTGGTTCTTTGGTTTCTCTAGTGGAGTATGTTTCTCTTTGCTTGTTATATGAGATAACAGAAAACTGCGTGTAGCCCTCAGGTTGGGCTCTGCCATCTGCTGCCCTCTTACACCGCCTCGGTCAAGGAAGCGGCCTTCTCTGCACGCTTGCCCAGTTGGTCACTCTCCTAGCATCACGTCCACCTCTTGTTTGGCCTGTCGGTACCACCATCTGGGGTCTTGCTGAAAACGGATTAGGATGTTTTGTGGCATCTACAGGTTTCAGAAGCTGCAGCTATTTGCTTGTTGACTGGGGGATTCTACCAGGCAGCTTTCCTTTTTCATGGAGCGTGCTTTCATCCTCCTCATTTTCATTCTGTGTGCAGCACGCTTTGTTCTCTATCTGTAATGAAAGGAAGCTTGAGTTTGTGAATAGGGAAATTCTGTTTAAAATACTCCAGTTGTTTTAGCTTGCAGCTTCTCAGAAGTCTCTGGAATAGCGTATTAGTAGCTCTGCTGATTTCTCCTTGTCTTGCAGCTATCCCTACACCACTGCTGTGTATGAAGGAACTCACCCTGCAGAAGCAGAGTGAATTCATCTTTCATGGATTTCAGTTTGGCTGCTGTCTCCCTGTATGAAACTGTGAGAATTGCTTACATGCTGTTGTTGAGAAGAATGTGCTGTCAGAGACCTGTAAGTGACAGATAATCACAATTATGCAAAATTGCAGTCTTCTTTCCAAGAGCTTCTGAACAGGCATTTTATCAGCTATATCACTAGTGCACTGCAAAACATCCATTGTAAAATTTAGCATCTGTCACCTCTCTTGACTGCTGACATACAGTGAAATCTTTTCAAAGAACACTTCAGACAGACAATCTCATGTTAGAAGTCTGACCTGAAGTACCCTTTGTATTTGTAGTCCAGTCTTCATTGACCCCTTCTAGAAAGCTGCTTCTGCTGAGCCACTGATCCATATAGGTCCTTCAAAGGGTTGTTTGACCCAGACTGAAGAGTTTGCTAGCTTTTTTAATTTTAAATTCCTGCTTCTCTGGGTTCTGCTTAGCCAATTCATTTGGATGTTTGAATCTCTTCCTGGGTAGGCTCACGTGGTATCTGTTCCGAGGTGCTGCTGTGCAATGAAACAATCCTTAAGCTCTATTTCTTCTACTGGGTATTCACTGTGCCTTGAATACCGATTGGAATAGGAAACATGGCTTCCAGTCATGAGTGGGTGCTTATTTATGGAAGAAGTTTGGGGCAGAAGTAGTCTAACGTGAGTTACTTTCTGAGTTTGTATGCAGCTGAAAGCTTTTTTTAGGTATGAAGGTAGTGTAATTCAACTTGGTTGTTACTGTGTTCAGTGGTGAGAACATCAAGTGAGCTGCAGGTAGAGTGTGTTGCCTCTAGGAGCTGCAGGCCAACCTCTGCAGTACTTTTCTGATGAAACAGGAGACTTTATTTGTATTTATGTGGCACTTAGGGACAGGGTTTAGTGGTGAACTTGGCAGTGTTAGTTTTACAGTTGGACTCGATGATCTTAAGGGTCTTTTCCAACCTAAACGCTTCTATGATTTCTGCAGAATTTCCCATAACATCAATGCTTTTGTTTTAATACGTACTTCCTTTCCCTGAATGATGCATGTTCATGTTCTTTGCAAGGCAGAAGACAAGTTAGGGATTTGTAAAAGCTTCTACCTACAGTAGTCTGGGCATCTTTGTTATGGCACATAAAATACTGTATTTCGTTGTACTCCTCAGTAGCAACTTGCAATATAAGTTGCAGTACAAATAAAAGACTATGACTGTATTGCAAGAGGCTGAAAGGAGAAGTGGTAATTAGATGCTAATTACTGTGTGTAAATTAGTTAAGAGTAGCAAATTCGGTTCTTAATACTCAAGGAAGGGATCGTTGAGCCTTGCCTCTTCCTTGTGTATTTGATGTGCCTTGAACACTGAATGGGTTTAGACGGTTTCTAGTCATGAGTTGGTTTACTCGTGGGAGAAGTAATTATCTGTTCAGTTATTGCAAGCCAGTCTGATTATTGGAGATAATGAGAGCTTATGCCATCTGACTAAGATTTCTCAGGCTTTCAGGTTTAGGCCATCATAGGCTTTAGTTGCTGAGTGGAGAACAGTGAGTGGAAATCATGTACCATTTGGGAGCTGCCTGTCTGTTTCTAGACTTAATGAATGGAAACTTGTATATGCTGCTGATTCGGGGGGTGTCGTGCAAATTGGGCATTTTGTCTGGGAAATACATACAGAGCTGTGCTACTGCTTGTATGCTAGTAGCTGCCATAGTGTACTTAAAGATCTAGTTGATGAATTATCCCTGTTTTGAGCTGTTGCTGCAAAAGCAATTTGAAAGCCTAAATGATTTTTTAATTTATTTTTGTGTGTGTAATTCAGGAAAAGGAAGCAAGGAAGACTGCTGCATAGTTTTGTTAGGTTCATCTATCTCTTTGCGAGACAGAAGGGTCAGGTAAGCTCCGAATTCGTATGGCTGATGTTACAGAGTACATTGGTTCAGCAAGTCTGCCTTGTCTCTTTATTACACTGTACTTGGATGTTAGAGAAAGTCAGATTTTTAGGATCAGGAGGGACTCTTCTGGCTTGCAGTGTAGCATGCTTGGTAGATTTCTGTTCTCAGAAATATCAGTTATTGGACATTGACTCATGAGCAGGCTGAGCATAACTAGTATAAGTAGGCTTGCTATGGATACTAACCCCAATAAGAAGTGCTGTGCAGGGTGCTGCAGTCTTCTAAACATATCTGGGTTCAAAGCATCCCTGTCTGTATGCAGATTCCTAAGTGCTTTGCTCTGCTTATGCAATGAGGCAAGGTGCAATTCTGGTCCTGGGTTCCTCATGCTTTATTGCCTGAATTCCTAGCTTGCTTTGGACAAAAGAGGACCAGTTGCTTCAGGATGAGTGTTGAAGAAAGGAGTAGAGTCCAATTTACCGATTGTAATTGGAATGAAAATAGCAGCCACAGCTGGGTATGCCTTTAGGGTTAGAGGCCTCTTGAGAACATATTTGCTGCAAGTTAACATGCCTCTCTTTGCAAAGAGTGAACTGTATGTTTCTGTCTTGGAGTGAGAGAATAGGACACTGATATTCAATATCTGTGAAGAAAGGGGAGTACGTTAGCACGTGCTCATGGGATTTGGAGGCAGTGTTTCCATAGGACAGCACACACTCAAGTGCTTTCTGTTTGTGAATTAGCCTAGCTCTGTGGGCTGCGAAAGCTTCTTGAAATGCTGGTTTAATTGAGCTCTTGTATGAGCAGTCCTCCTTTGTGTGACCTCACCTTGTCCAAGCTGGAGTTTTTTACCTGATGCACCTTCTCTGAAGGACAGGCTTTCCTGTTTGTTGTCAACATGAGAGTGGTACGTTTTTTTATCCCAAGCAAATCTTGGAGCAGGAGATGGCTTGGTTGTCTTCCCTGCAGGATTAGGAAGAAAGATCAGTTGTTTGTGTAACCGCTTGGCTCCAACTTGCAATTTTGTGTGGTAGGAATCATGTAAGTGCTTTTCTATCGTTGCCCGAGACCTGCTCAGCCTGCTTGGTGCACTGAGTCTGTTGCCTTTCCAAGGCCAGCTCTTTCCCGATATGCTAGTCTGAGCTA